TATGATTCTATGGTTCTATGATTAGATTTTGATCTCTTCAAAACCATTTTAGACTAGAGATTAAAAACTCCTCTGCATGTCAGATTTTACTGTCATACCAAGTTTCAAATTTCAATTTTACATGCATCTCGGGGTCTAAGCAGAACAGACAAAAATATGTATAGTAAAATATGTTCTGCAAAACATAAAAAATAATATTTTATTGTTTTTAATCTAGAAATCATTATGAGGATTTCTTAGCTCAGTTAAAACAACTGAGAAGAGCTGCTCAGTCTGTTATGATCATCTGCAAAGAAATCTGTAGTAATTGGCTCAAGATAGCAATACTTCACTAAGGTTTACTTACTGTACCTAATCATATTTGTGTAATTATTGCTGTTTTACTTAACTAGAATAACACAGGACGTGTCTGCACTGCGTGGAAATCCAGATATTAACCACTTGTAATGGTAGCCTTTAACATGCCATATATTGTTTTTCCTGATATTTATGCTTCAAAGTTTTGACAACAATCAGCTTTAACTTTGAATTGATTCTTTGCTAGGATTACAATCTTTTGGCAAGCTGTCAATAAATATTGTTGGGAAATTTTTGTGTGCATCTAGATTGCAATAACTTCATACTAACAAACATTTCACTGGTCTGCATGCTTGGGATGATTATTGGCTTGGACATAATCTTTCAAAACTTTTCACCCCTGCAGGTTATTGTGAAGTAAATTTTTAAGTTGCTCATTTAGAAATGTTTTCTCATCTTGCACCATAATATTATCATCCTTGAGACCTGGATGATGTAATTTTATTGCTGTATTTAAAAGACAGGGAAAAGCTACTTTTAAATGTACTCCTCATGGGAAAAAATATAATTATAAGTCTGCATAGACAACAGCTACTGTGAAAATTCAGATAGGGAGAAAACTTTAATTGGAGATGGAATACTAATTAGTATCTCCAAACAGCTTTCATATTCAGTCACTAACCTCAGAAAACTGTATACCATGTCTAATGAAAACTAATTTCAAGAAATTGTATGAGCTTTGTAGCACTTCAGACCAAAACAGACTACTGTGTGACTGGTCTGAACTCTAGTAGGTGACAGAGCAATTAAGCAATTCAGCTACCCCACCCCTGGTTTAAGTTAATAAATAGTGCTTAATTAACACATAACTTGTGTCTGGCTGAAGCACAAATTCTGCGAAAATATCTAGTTATGACTGGATATTGTATATATGCATCAACAAATATATAGCCACCTTGCCTCTTGGAAGGTAATTCCAATGGATAATCAAACTCACCAATAAATTACATGCTTCTTATTTCAGTGTGAATATATATACATTCCTACACAGTACTCAAAGGAGATACAAGTAAACCCTGCTCTAGCAGACTTGTGTTCAGCCCGCTCTGAAGTGGAAATATAGCTAGCTTCACTAAAGACAGGATCTATTATGCAGGCTCTATAGTTTAATACAACAGAGACATAAATCCTAATCTGGAGATAACTCAGATTGAAAAAAGCACATTGAAACCAGCCTGCAAAAGCCTGTTTACAGAAGTAGGAAGACTTCTCTTCAGAGCAATTCCTTCATAAGCCCTTTGAGGCAGAAGCTAGGAAGAAAGACTAGCTATAAGGAGTTTGTGGACAAATAGGAAGTGCAGTTTATTTTCACTCTGACAAGAGAAGAAAAGTGGAAACAGAGGTCATCGTTCTCTGTGAGCTGTTAGATCGGTGGTGGTGGCATTGGTTCAAGTTTGCTGTCAACAAAGATCTGCTCTGGCACCAATTTCAATGAGTTGAAATGCTTTTTAAAATAAATTTGGCACCACTTATCAAAGAAAGTTCTGTATCAATGTGTTAGATCGTTACAAGCCTTAAAGACTTTGGACCAAATCCTAAATACGTGTAAAGTTCGATTCCTAACGTGGTGTCAGAGGGAATGAGATCTTACGGAAAGCAACGGTCACATGGAGGGTAACTCCAAAGCTTTGGCTTTACACAGGGTTTCAAGTACTTCTCTAGCTTTAGTTCTCTGTAAATATTGATCTCCACACTTCATATTCTCCCTTATTCTTGCTACTGTTAGGGCATTATTCATATAGAAACCAAAGTGCATGAGTAACTTTGTTTCAAAAACTTATGGTAATATATGTTAAAAAACCTAAGCAAGAAAATTTCTGTGTAATTTCTGTGTATTATAAGACAGATACAAAGAGTACAAAAAAAAGCTGCAGACTGGGCAAAGGAAAGAAAATTAGACCAATGGAGAAGCAGAACTCTTTGTCCAAGATGACATGAAAATTCCATGCCACAGGTAAGAGCTCAACCTGAACCTCTGGATTCCCCAGCCAATGCAAGAATGGAAGTAGTAGTTATCTTCCCCGAAAGATTTTTCCTATTTTGTATGTATCTTTACCGAGTGTGAAAAATGGTCAGGATAATACAAGCTTAATACAGTGTTAGTAGATATTTACAAAAACTCCTAACAGCTTATGTGAATAAGGCGTAATCTACCCTTCTGAGTGCTGCTTTGTTTTTGAAAGCTGAAGACAATTGAAATTTAAGGAAAAATGTGGTCTATTAAATGCAGATTTATAGGATGCATACCTAATACTAATCACAGGATTTTTCTGGAAATGCTGGATTACTTTGGCAGTCAACAGGTCTCAGTGCAAAAGCATTTTGTGTTCACTCAGCATTTTGTTGTTTTTCTTTTGGGGGTCTTCTAATAGGCTTGCTAGAACTGAATTACTGGGTCATTTTACAGCAGAAAGGATACATCTCTGTCTGGGAATGGGCTTTACTTTGGTTATTAGAGAACATATTCATATTCGATTGTGGAAAAAGGGATGGCAATGATTTAAACCACAGAAACTGTGTTCTAGAACACAGAAGACAAAAAAGATCTATGCAAATCTGCCCCAAAGCTACCAACTTTATGAAACATCTTTTTTCCAGCTAGTGACTCATCCTGGTTACCAGAGAGAGAACAAAACCCAGGAACTGGCCTCCACTCTTATACTTTCATTAGGTTATAACCGATATTTTAGATTAATTAAGCTAAAGTCTTCCATCTGAAAGAAAAGGTCAAAGGTTAACAAACACATAGTTAAAGTAAGATTAATGGAGAGCTTTGGTAGCAATGAAATAACCAGTCTCAATTCCAGGAACTTCCCACAGTGTACCTCAGTAATTAAGCTCTCATGTAACAGAAATATCTCATTCCACACTTCAGCTGATAGTGCTGTGAGACAGTCATGTTTTCCCTAGCTATCACTGAATGAGATCTGTACTGAGTGAACACCGGGAAGAGACAAAAGGATCATGACATTTGTATTTAAGGAAGTCCCAGTGAGGTCATGTTTCTAAACATGCTAGGTCAAGCTCAGTTTCTCATCTTTTGCACATCATAAAAGCAGGCAAGCAGGCAAGAAAAGCTTCCTTTAATTTGTCATACTCTGCATGCAGGTCTCAAAACAGAGAGTATGGTTTCAGAGTAAATGGCTGTTCGTTCATTTAAAAACAAGAAGGAGTGCAATGGACTTCCAAAGTGTGTCCAGATGGGACAATGGTTGTTGCACAGAAGTGTAAAGTGCTCTATCCTGTCAAGTTTCCTCACATAGATTTACTGCCAAATGGGGAAGAAGAGAGGGAGAAAAAAAGCCTTTTTTGTAGAAACAATTGCTTGCTAAATGTTTTCATATCCCTGAGATCTAATATCACAGGACATTAATAATTTTTATCAAATGGGAAAGGTGTTAACTCATATCTCACTGTGGAGGAGCAAAGCTCAGTATGTAACATTTCTCTCTGAGGAGTTAAAATATTATATTTTATTTTTTTAAGCACAGATAAATTCTCACATGGTCTCTCTGGGCACATCTGTTTCCCCATATATAGAAATGCCTTTCCCAAACTGTTTATAAAAAGGATAAATCATGTTTTATCTGTTCACAGTAGAGGAACATGCTAATGACAGTTGGAGATGATAAACAAGGTTGCTTATGGTCAAGTTGACCAGAGTGTTGGCATGAGAATAGTGGTGTTCACTTACAACAAGAGAGCAGAAAAAACAGAATTTGAAACATCAGTGGTCATTGCAGTATGAAAATCAAGAAAAATCATATTTCTCCTGAGCAGCTTTATTTGTTCACTTTTTCATTCATTTATTAATGTGAGAATTTCAAAAAGTAGCTAAGGAAAACACAGAAGTATTTCAAGACATCATTTACCCAGAGTCAATATGTTTGAGGCAGAAGCAATGTTCCTCCAGCTTCCATTGCTATCCAGGCTTCCGTTCCTACCTGCCAAGGGCAGAAGTGAGTAAGGAAGCCAAGGCTCACATCAGCTCAAACTCTGGTGTCTCAACTTCAATTGCCAGTTTGTTAATCAGTTGTGGTTTCCACGATGTACCAAGCTCTCTGGCAGGATTATGACTTAAACCACCTTTCTCCCACAGACCACTGAGTAGACTTCAAATACCACTCTCAGTCTCTACTTAACAGCAACTCTGCCTCAAAGCCGATGCAAAACCCTGCTTCTAAAGAAGGCTAAAAATTAGCTGCGTGCTTTATGTTGCTATTAAATACCTCTTCTGAATTATGTGTTAAATTTTTGATATTTTTTTTAATGTTTTCTCTGTTGCTGTGTAAAAGTCCCCCACAAATATCAGGGAGAAATTATTCCTTGATAATAGAGTGGACATACAGAAATCAAGTAAGTGCTAAGTGTGAGGTGCTCTAAACATCTGTAAACATGCTGAATAACAGTGATAAATAGCTACATGTCCCACAGGTCTCTTCACCTAGAGTGACCCTCATGGATTATTACCAGGAAAAAAATGGTAATTAATGTACTTTTCTTAAATATAAACATGAGCTTAAAATTCACGTGCAAAACATCTGCAAAAACTCCTTTATCTCATTTCCAGTCATGCAAACTCTGATATTCCATGCTACACGTCATGGCACAAAGTGACGAATATATACAGCTTTTTACTCCACCTCTCGGTAGTTGTCGCTGACTCGATCCAAACTGAGGGAATACAAGAGGTCTCTTCCTCCCACGAACAGTCGCTCTTGATACTCATCCAGCAGCATTATATGAAGACCAAGATATCCAAATGGGCTATGAAAGACTGACGTCCTGTTTAAATCCCAGAGCTCTGAAATAAAATCAGAGTGTGCGTGATAAATACCAAACAGCTTAGCTTTCATGGCTTCATGTTCATATCCTCTTAGGGAACAAGGCAAAAAGTTGTGGGACATTAAAATGCTAATCATATAATCTTTGAGTAAGAAAGAGACTCAAATCACCTGGGAACAATTTTCAAAATGAGCCGGCTCTCCAGGAGGTTTGAATGCGAATCTTTACATCATAATCTTTATGCTCCAAGTATCATGAGATGGGGATGAAGAGAAATAAGTTTCCTCCTTAACATTTTCTGAAAGGGAAAAACTACTGCTTAGGACATCAACTGCTAATGGGAAAAAATGAATGTACTGATGGAAACTAGAAAACTTACAGGAAATTGTTGTCTCCTTGTCTTTCCCTCAGGCATGTCAAACTGCAGGTTTTTATTGTACGTACAACATTATTCTGGTTTTGCTTTTTTGAAGGGATGCGGTTGCTAGTTTTAAGCCTAACACTGTCTCCACTCAGTTCACTTAAAATATTTCCTCTAAATTCAGTGGGAACAGTATGAAATCTGTAAAATACATATTCATCGTTTTCCGGGTAATTACTGATTTTGTCAAGAAATACACTGACCAGACAAGGAGAGCTAAGGCTTAGCTGCACATAATCCAAGCTAAAGTCACTTCCACAGAGAAAGGGAAAATCATCCTGGGTAATGTTGCAGAAACTTGGAATCAGACCTAAGGAAGGAGGAAAGATACAAGCACAGGGGTCTTTCTGCACTCTTGAGCAGATGGTGCAGAGCACAGCATGGCTCACAGCAGGCCAGAGAGGCTGAAAACCATTTTGCTGTTATGAAGCATCAAAAGAAGTCATTACAAAGAGTACCTTAGGACTGTCTGCAAAGCAGCGGAACTGGGACTAGGGGAAAGGAACTATATTCCTATGCCTATGTTGTGGTGAACTGTTTTATTTTGAAGAAAGAAAAATCATTCTTGGTAAAAGCAACTAAATTGTTTTTAGCTTATGCTCACAGCTATCCCTAAGCATAATTTTTCCAATTTTTTGGATGTGGCCCAGCAGATGATGCTGGGAGAAGTGGGATTGTCCCAGAGCTAATGAAAACAAATGGGCCGTCATCCATTTTGGGGTGGAGGTTCCAGTTTTTGTGCCATACCAGCAGTTATGTTCACTCGTCTATGCAGCACCTTCTCAGCCACATAGAGGCCACAGCTGGTCTTCTGCAAGGGGACTGGTCCTAAATATCAGAGAAAGTCCATGCACAGGTCTATCACTATGGCATCCACTTGGAATGCCTTATATGACATCCATATATGCTGTGATTTTCAGAAATTGATATGCATCTTTAACCTGAGAATGCAGCCTCGTAAGGTATCGAAATACTAAACGACCAAAATTCATAATCACTATTACAAATTTGTCCTATGTTCCCTGAGAAAAGGGTGTTCCAAACCAATGAGATTTAAATTCCATATTACAATATGAATTTATCTTACCCACGAAAAGGTTTAGCATGACCATTTTACCTTATGAGATATCTTACTTATATCCTAAAGTATAGAAAAGAGAACAAATATTTTGAGCCAAGGCAAGAAATTTAGTATTCAGTGAGGATATTTATTTACTCTAACAAAATTGCCACAATTTCTTTTTCTTTTAAATAGTTATTTATATTGTGCACATGATGATAAGCGAACTTAATAATAGGAAAATATGTTTTGTTCCATTTGTCGACTAGGTTTGTTTCAAGTCAACAGAAGCTGAAAGCACACAACTGACTTCTTCCTGAGCTGTCTTCAAAAATAATCTATTGATTATATATCTGTGGACAATAATGTTAATATCCAGGCTTTCCATAATATTTTTTAACAGTAGAGTTCAAAGTACTTTGTACATGGATGTGATTGGCGTCACTTAACAAATGGGAAAATTAAGTCACAGAGAGGAGCATCATGATGGACAGAGCAAGTCTTTATTGTCTAAGCTTTGCATACTGGCCAGTGAACATGCATACATTCTTTGACTGTGATACACTCAGCACAGTACTGCATAGGAATGTGGAAATGGTGCTTGCAAAGTAAGCTTCGCTCGCCAAGAAAATCCATCAGATTGCTGTTTCAGAACATTGCTTGTTTGTGATCAGCCTAGAAAAGGAATGAAAGCAGAACTAGAAATACTATTTTTGTCCTAAATAAAGCCACTTTTTATTTTCAAGAATATAAAACATTCAATATATTTGAATTTTGAGTCAGTCCTGGAGTTAAAAGAATTGCATTTTAAATTCCAGTTTAATTTAGCCACAAAAGGATACTGTGGCAGCTTCCCCCAGTTTATTTCCATGTTGTTCTGAAGGCAAATTTTTCATAAATGAGACAATATTTCTTTACATAGATTAGAGATATTACTCTAGTGTTCTCAATGCGAACACAGGGCATGATGAGCAGTCCTCTACCTGATCATGTACCCTGATGACTACTCAGATAAGACTCTGTCCAGCCAGATACACCTGCAACTCTCATTGTCTTAAATGAAAGCTTAGAAAATTAAACAGCTTTCAAGATCAAACTTGTGAAAAGGGATATTTCTAGGACTACCTCCAGCAAAGCTATACAGGCATGGTTTTGCCATGGGTATAGAGATAAGAACAGAATTGCACCTGACATCTGGAAGGGCTGGAAAACACCGAGCAGTGGGACCTGGGGAGAAGTTTTGTTACTGAAACACAAATGTACTGGTATTATATAGTTCCTTTGAAAGGTACTAGCATTTCTGGACATTGTAGGATATCTGAGCTATTAGGATAGCGTAAGCAAGTAGGATACAACACCTTCTGAATGTCAGGAGAATGGGTGGGGTACTCGGAGTCTAAAATGGCACTAAATCCCTGTCATTTCTAAGCAAGTGAATCTCACCATGATCCAGCTTGATGTAAATGACCCAGGTTTTGAAGCAGTAGAACTTCATTCATGCAATATTATGCCCCTTCAGCAGAGCTAGTTGGCTTTGATATAGCACTACATGATTGCATCTGTACAACTTCCAGACTTGAGCTGCTGCAGACACAGGATACACATCCTTCACACTCATCTAGTGAATTATTAGTTCATAGATCATTGTATTCTGCAGGGCTGAGTTACCCTCAGTCTTTGAAATCAAAACACAATTGGGACTGAGATACCGAAATTCAAAGCTTAAAGCAACTTTCATGAAAATCTACTCTCAAGTACCTTGAAGAATCTTGCATTTGCAAGTGTCACCTTGTGACTCTAGACTCCTCAACGTGTTAAAAGTTGTGCTCCTGCTAAGGCTTACATCCTTAATTTGAAAAATTCAGTTTCTACATCACACCTAAACTTGAGCATAACCCAAAAAGAGATTGTTTTTCTACCTAATAGTAGTATTTTATAGCTACATTTATGCTGAGCACATCTAGCACACTTACGAGATCAGGTGCAACTGCAATTTTCTTCGAGAACCTGGCCAGAGAAAATATAGCACTGCTAAATATTTTTAAAATATTCTAGTGGCTAAATCGGTCACCTAAGGAATAGCAGACATGAGTTTAATTTCCTTTTCTAAATGGATTGAAACCCAGATCGTTCTCTCTCCATAAGGAGGTCTAATCTCAAGCTATTAGCTACTAGATTGGCAGGGAAGGGTGGATGCTTTCTCCATTTCCTGTTGAAGCTGTGCAACAAAATATTCAAACTTCAGGAAGAATGAACAAGCAGTAGCATGACCCTAATTTAGTAGTTAAATTGCTTTTCTGGGAAAGAAGTTCTGGCTCTATTGCTCAAAATAGTCTACGCATTTTATATTAAACAGTAAGTGGACAGAGTATATAAATTGTTCTAACACATGGACTAGAAATCCTCAGCTCCTCTCTCACATGGGAATGGCTACAGATTTCAGCTGAGTTAAATCCTTCCTTTTTCTGAGTTTCTTTAGATTTTTGTGACAAAAAGCCCTTGCTCTATAAAGATTTTGTGTAAAGAAATAAAAAGCAAGAGGAAAAGAGGATGAATTGTTCAGGCAGAATATATTGTCAGTGCTCAACACACAAGACAAGAGAGAAAAGACCATTCCTACTGCTATCTCTTCATAAAAACAGATCTTCATGTTGCCTCTCTGTACTGATCCCCAAATTTGAGAAAATGTTATTCAAGTTTCATCCTGTAATATTTTACCATTTTAATATAAAAGCTCAACACCATAACTAAAACCACGCCACTACAGTACAAACAATGTTTTACTCAACAAAGGAAGGACTGCTTCAATATTTACGTATTCCTACATGGCACTTCACTTACTCGTGAAAACCTTAAAGCAAGTCTTGGCTGCCAGATTACATTTCATAAGAGAATAAACCTTATTTCTTGCTTTTTTAAATACCAAGAACAAACCTGAAGGTTTTTTATCTGTCTGTCAGATTGCTGGCAAATATTCAGACTGATCTTGCTTACCACAGTTTTTCTTATAGCACTTCTAATTTGGTGAATATCCTCTTTGACAAGATGCATTCTGTTAGCCATTTGCCAGCAATGATGTTAATTATATTCATAATAGCTGATTTCTTGAATATTTTAATGATCAGTATGTAATTCTTTCTTACTTCTAAGATTGTGTTAAAAAAAGAATGAAGTCACCCTTTTAATATATTGATATTTTTTAGATATAAAAGCTCAATAACAAAGGCATGCTTAGAACATTAAATGCAAAAATCTCATTGCTGCTCCACAGCAGGCAGAGTATAGTGAGATCTTATAACAGGTTCTTAGAAATTAGGCACATGGTGAGTAAGATACAACTTTGAACCTTGAATATAGACAAATATCACTAGAGTTGGATTTCTTTTTCTCAGGGAGTGAAAAAGTTGCAGTTGCTCTTGCTCTGTTTTTCATAGCATTACATCATCACAACTGCACAAGTCAATTGCTTTTGCCCTTTTTTGCCCTCATAAAAATCTTTGATTCCCCTTTTACATTCTACAGAAATATAGTCTCACCT